GTGATTATCAGCGTTAATGTTAAAATCTCCGACAATTAGCACTTTATCAACAGTAAGCAATAGGTCTGAGAGGAAATCTGCAAATTCTTTTAGGAAATCTGTATACGGCCCTGGCTGTCTATACACAGTAGCCAGAGCAAGAGATACGATAGATTTATTTTGCATATCTGACAGTGTAACATTAAGCAGAAGTATTTTGAATGAGTTAAACCTGTATCCTGTCTTCTGAGTAACATTGAGAATATCACTATGTATTGTTGCAACGGGGCTCATGCTTATAACAGTAGCTTGGTGGAGTAGACTCATTTAGACCAGTTTAGACTAGTCATTTAGACTAGTCATTTAGACTAGTTCAGGCTTCCTCAAGTCCATCCCTTAACAGGTAAGTTATTGGGGTATGCAGCTCAGGCCTTTAGCCGAAGGGGATCGTGCCACTGACAGCCGTGAAGGCGTCCTAGGGGCAACTCCCATAACCTTGGTAGAGTTGGTACTTAGTGCTTGCCTTTGTGTTTGGGATGCACTCCCCTCAGCATGGCAGCATGGGTATACTGTTTCCCATAGCGACCGCTAGAGGACGCAGTTTGAAGGTCCCTCAGAAGGGAACTTATCAGGTTACGTATGTAACCCTGGTTCCCTGAGAATGGAACGAGACACTGCGTCCTCTAGAAGCCTCGCCATGCTTCGGACACGAGCTTCAGATGAAGAAGTGGATGATGTGTTCTCCCGGTGCCTTTTTATACTCCCTGCATTCCATTCTGAAGGGCTCATCCCTATGCCCTAATCCCTTCAAAGGGTTTACCCTCCGGAGTGAGAGCTTCGTAGGGTTGAAGGGTGTAGGGGACCAAAAAACTGTTACTTGAAGTGCCCTTCTGCGCCATCATCCCGTGCCCACACGGAGGCGCCGTCATCATGGAAATAATCTGCGCAAAGGATCATGGGAGGCCGAAGTGTCCATCAGTTGTACCCTTCGAAATCCTTCATTCCAAAGGGCCCTTTGAAGTGGCCAGTTTTGAGCACTTCGGTTTGGAACGATCCTTCAGTATGGTGGCCATGATTGTTTTCACTCCGAAGTGCCCTTCAGAGGGCGATATATCCCGTTTGGAATGCACTGAATGTGGTCGCGCCGGTAATGACGTCATAGGCTGTCGCCGCCCAATGTTATTGTCGTGTTTAGATGTATGCTTCAGACACCGGTCACACCGAAGGCGTTCCCCGTAGCGACCGCACGAGGACGCTGTGTCTCGTTCCCTTCTCAGGGAACCAGGGTTACATACATAACCTGAGACATTCAACTTTTAAAAAACATGTCTCAACTTTATGGCGGGTTTTTCCCCATCCCACTGCATCTCATGTTTTTAAATGGAAAAGTACTCTTTGGGATTGGTTTTCGGTCCTTTGTATTTAACTATGGATACATACATGATGCCGTTTTGTTTATAATTGTTTAAGCAACTTAAGTAATTATATGTGGTTTATAAACATTTTTTAAACATTATGCACTTTTAAGGATAGTCATGTTATTTTATTGCTTTAATAAATGTGCATTAGTAATATTTTGCTCGATGCGCCCTCTTGTGGCCTCAGGAGAGAAGCCAAAAGCTTTGTTCCCCCTAACTGAAATTATGCCTTTTCCAAATATAATTTGAATATTGATAATATTTAAGTACAAAATTTGAATTGATTTTTTCAGCCATTTCTGATCGTATCATTGGTGTTGTTTTGCTGTAGTGTGATAATGCTGGATGAAGCTCACGAGCGAACACTTTACACTGACATCACCATTGGCCTCCTGAAGAAGGTGATGCTCTATTTGCTTTCTATCATCTGTCAGATGAGCATTTGTGTGGGGTTTTTCTTCCCATTGTTTTCTCTCGCTTTACAGATTCAGAAGAAGCGCAGAGACCTGCGTTTGATCGTAGCTTCAGCCACTTTGGATGCCAAGGTAAATCCAACCTCTGACTAAATATATACTATATATATACTGGGTGAAATAATGTTACTTTGTCACAGATATATTTATGTAAAAAAAACAAAAAAAAAAAACATACTTATTCTGACCTGTGCTTATTAAAACATGTAGAAGAATAAATGATCATACTAAATTTTATTAGTTTTTAAATGATTAAAAACATCTTACAAATGTTTAAATCCAAGTAGTTTGAAGGATAGTGGCAATCTTTGGTAAAGATTTAAAATAATTCATTAGTTTTTGGAGCTGCACTGAGATCCTTAAAGAGTGTCTTTTAATGTCATCTAATGATTTCTGTTGAAAATATGCCTGAAAAGATGTATTGCTATATGAACTATTGCTACACTAAATGACATTAGTTCAGTAATTCATGGTAAAAAAAAAAAAAGTATGATAGTCATTATTTTTTGCTTAGGGGAAAAGAAAAAAAGGAACTATATTTAAAGCTGTATTAAATTTCGCTTTAATGCTTGTAATTTATTTTAACTCTAAAAATGTCATTTGATTTAGTAATTCAGTAAAAACTAGTATTTTCCTCACACTCTGTGTACACAATCATTATTTCAAGTACTTTTTTTAACCATCATGTATTAATAAATATCATTACATTTCCTTTTTCTTCTGCATATTTCTGCATGTTGGTCACTCAGTATCATTGTGACCACCTTATTTGTATGTCCTCGCATATAAATTGTAATTCAGAAATGATAAAAACATGCACATTGTAAAAGAGGTGTAAGATATTTTCATTATCATCATCGTTTTATGATTTTATGTACAGTGCCATTCAAAAGTTTGGGATCAGTAAGATTTTTAATGTTTTTTAAAGAAGATTCTTCTGCTCATCATGGCTGCATTTATTTGATCAAAAATACAGAAAAAACTTTAATTCTGTGAAATATAATTTTTTTCTGAAATATTATTGTTTTCTATGTGAATATATTTTAAAATGTAATTTATTTCTGTGATCAAAGCTGAATTTTCAGCATCGTTACTCCAGTCTTCAGTGTCACATGATCTTCAGAAATCATTCTAATATGCTGATTTATTATCAGTGTTGGAAACAGTTGTGCTGCTTAATATTTTTTGGGACCTTTTCTTTGATTCTTTGATAAATGAAAGGCTAAAAAGAACAGTGTTTATTCAAAATAGAAATTGTGTTACAATGTACAAACTATTCAGAAGTGTGGGGTCAGCAATTTTTTTTCTTTAAAAAAAAAATAAAAAATTAATACTTTTATTCAGCAAGGATGTGTTAAATGGATAAAAAGTGATAGTAAAGACTTAAATTGTTAGAAAATATTTATATTTCGAATAAACACTGTTCTTTTTAAACTTTTAATTCATCAAAGAATCAAAGAAAAAGTATCACAGGTTCCAAAAAATATTAAGCAGCACAACATAGATAATAAATCAGCATATTATACTGATTTCTGAAGATCATGTGACACTGAAGACTGGAGTAATGATGCTGAAAATTCAGCTCTGCATCACAGGAATACATTTTTAAAGTATATAAAAATATTAAACCAATATTTCACAATATTACTGTTTTTCCCTGTATTTTTGATAAAATGTTTGATGAGCATAAGAAGCTTCTTTAAAAAACATTAAAAATCCTTCTGATCCCAAACTTTTGAACGGCAGTGTATATGATGCTGAAAATTCAGCTTTGCATCACAGAAATGAATTAAATATCGCAATATAGTAATAGTTAGATACTATTTCAGAATAATACTATTTTTACTGTATTTTTGATCAAATAAATACAGCCTTGGTGAGCAGAAGAGCCTTCTTTCAAAAACATTAGAAAGTCTTAACAACACAAACGTTTTGGATGGTAGTGTGTACTATTTTTGAAGGATTTTAAAACAAAACAAAAAAACATATTGTCTCTGCACAAAGCTGTTGTAGGTTTCTTGAATCATCTGAGGGTTCATGATAATCAGCCGCATGATTGCTGAAGATCTCAGCGGTCAGCTAGCTAGAGTTGATCTACGTCTGATACATGAACAATACTGTTCCCTCAGAAATTCCACGATTTCTTCGACCTAAATGAGTCTGGAGACCCAAATAAAGACACCTGTGCGATTCTGACGGTGGAGGGCCGAACTTTCCCGGTGGATATTTTCTACACTGTCAGGTGAAGCTCATGTTCACATATGGTCAGTCCTGTGAGAAAAGAATCTCTCTCTGCTTCCACTAATGAAAGTGACGGTATGCTTTCTGTCTCCAGTCCTGTGCCAGACTATGTGAAGGCTACGGTGGAAACCGTGATGAAGATCCACGAGACGGAGGATGATGGAGATGTGCTGGCCTTTCTCACAGGACAGGTGTGTGTGTGACGTTTGTGTAGGTTTGTTCTGGAATGGACCTGCTGCATTGGTTTTCATTGTTCACGTCCTAAAAATGTCTTTTAAAATATGTTTTTTAAGGCTCCCCTGATGTTCGACCTGCTGTCAGCGTATATCAATGTTTTTCTGCTCGTTCTTTCATCAGGAGGAGGTGGAGAAGGTGGTGTCTATGCTCCAGGAACAGGCCCGGACTTTGTCCCGTTACGGGATGAAGAAGCACCTGTGTGTGCTGCCCATGTATGCGGGCCTGCCCTATAATGAGCAGATGAGAGTGTTCGAGAGGATGTCCCCTACTGTCAGAAAGGTGCAACCACATATGTGACCCTGGAGCACAAAAGCAGTCTTAAGTCGCTGGGGGGTAATTGTAGCAATAGCCAACAATACATTGTATGGGTCAAAATTATCCATTTTTCTTTTATGCCAAAAATCAGATCATGTTCCTTGAAGATATTTTGTAAATTTCCTACCGTAAATATATCAAAACTTAATTTTTGATTAGTAATATGCATTGCTAAGAACTTCATTTGGACAGCTTTAAAGGCGATTTTCTCAATATTTAGATTTTTTGCACCCTCAGATTCCAGATTTTCAAATTTTCGGCCAAATATTGTCCTGTCTAACAAAAACCATACATCAATGGAAAACTTGTTTATTTTGTATGTATAAATCTCAATTTTGAAAAATTGACCCTTATGACTGGTTTTGTGGTACACCGATGCAGTGCTGTCATACAAATATCCTATATACGGGTGACATATATAGGACAGAAACGATGAATTGAGATTCAGTCGTAGTCAGTGACGTTGAGTGTCCTGTTTGCACTGTTAAACAGTGAAACTGGAGAATCGGCACACATGTGACCATATGCACTCAGAGCTACATTGAATCCTGTTGACGGTCGTTTGTTTGTGTGATGTTTTTCAGGTGGTGGTCGCCACCAATATAGCCGAGACGTCCATCACCATTAACGGCGTGGTGTTTGTGATCGACTGTGCGTTTGTGAAGCTGAGGGCATATAATCCACGCACGGCGATAGAGTCACTGATCATTACGCCCATCTCTAAAGCCTCCGCCTGTCAGAGAGCCGGGAGAGCCGGGAGAAACCGCGCAGGGAAGTGTTTCCGGCTCTACACAGGTACAGTGCTGTCATGGTTCACTTTTATGGTGTTTTTGTGTCCTTTTTAAAGCTTATAAGGTCCAGTACCCATTCATTTCATTGAAAAGAATGACCAAGGCTTTAAAAAGATTCTCATATATATATATATATATATATATATATATATATATTGTACTTGTACTTATACTGTAGTGTGTTATTGGTATCTAAACTAAAACTGTGAAAAAATATTACTGGTAATAGAAATAAGGCTGAAATTAAATAAATTATAAATATTAGATGAAAAATGTAAACTTAAAAAAAAAAAAAAAACCTTAAAATTAGAAGTTAACTCACTAAAATAAAGATGTTTAAAATTACTAAATCTGAAATAAAAATAAATAAGCTGTGTACGTGTAAAAGGAACCCAAAAACTAATAAAAATGACAAAAACACAACAGAATTGCTTAAACTAAAACATAAACTAAACTGAAAATGTAAAATATAATAAAAGCTGCAAAATCAAAACTATAATAGGCTACTATATACACAGTATTTAATATACATAAATTAAAGTCAGTTTCAGTATTATTTTAGTAGTGGTTAAATACTACTAAACTGTACTTACATTTAAGAATTGACTTCCTTTCCAGTTCATAATTTAGCAAACATTGATTGTACAAATGTTACAGCTCAAATGTTTTACAATAAAAAGTTTATTATTTATATATTTTTAAACGTGTTTAATAAATTAGATAAATATAATTAAAAACATTGACTTTGTTTTATTAACTTATTTATTAAATATTTAGTAAATTTCAAGTAAGTTTGATTCCATTTGAATACTGAATTCAATTTTGCATACTCGGTTTGAATTCAGAAATGGGATTTAAAAATTATTTTCAGTTCAGTTCTAAGGTTGTGACGGTGAGGAAATTTTCCCACCGGTTAATTGATGTGTGACAACACCGGTATTAACGGTATCACCGTGGGGGCAGGGCGTTCCCTCTTTTCCTCGCTTTCCTTCGCTTTTAAATAGCTTAAAAGCGCCGTGCTCATTTTACTTTCACTTTCGAATTAGCGGCAATTCGGCATCAATTGCTTGAATGCAACAACAAAATACAACGTCAAACTCACTTTAGGGTATATATAAAACATAGAACTTTTATTAACAAAACTAATAAAAATACACCATGCTATAGGTTATGCCTAATATAAAATAACAAATAACTTACATAAAGTTTAAATGGGTATACAAAACTGGAAATGAGTAAACATGTATAATATATAACCAAATAAATAAGAAACGTAGAAGGTTTATTAGCAAAACGAGTAAGAAAGCTTGGAGGCACGGCATACACCTTGATGTCAAATAAAATAAATAAATGACACAAAGTTTAAATAAAGTAAAAATCAGCAAACACTGTGGAACCAATTAAATAAAAAAACGAATGTTTAAAAAAACTTCCAAAATCAGATAAACGACAAAAGTCAACAGGCTTTTCAAAATCCAAAATATTGCCAAACAGGCACTTTTGCATTTCGTTTCGA